TCAATTTGTTATATATTTAATATATTATTTAATTTATTATTATATTTTGACTAAGGTAATCATATTAACATTCATTAGGAATTTCTGGGAATTCAAATTAGGTATAAAACAACACACACAAAAATAATACCACGAAAAAATATAATAAGTAATTAAATAATAGTATTAATTAAAAAAAATAATAATATTAAATTAATTAAATAAAATAAATTTAGTAATATCGTCCGTAAATCTAAAAAAAAAACCTGAAAAAACCTAAAGAAAACCTGAAAAAATTGAATTCTAATACAGCACCATCTATCGTAATCTTTCAGTATCCAAAGACCAAAATTAAATAATAGTAGTAATTAAATAAAATAAATGTAGTAATATCGTACGTAAATCTGAAAAAAAACCTGAAAAAAACGTAAGAAAACCTGAAAAAATTGAATTCTAATACAGCACCATCTATCGTAATCTTTCAGTATCCAAAGACCAAAATTAAATAATAGTAGTAATTAAATAAAATAAATTTAGTAATATCGTACGTAAATCTGAAAAAAAAACCTGAAAAAAACGTAAGAAAACCTGAAAAAATTGAATTCTAATACAGCACCATCTATCGTAATCTTTCAGTATCCAAAGACCAAAATTAAATAATAGTAATAATTAAATAATAATAGCAATTAAATAAAATAAATTTAATAATGTCGTACGTAAATCTAAAAAAAACCTGAAAAAACCTAAAAAAACCTGAAAAAACCTAAAAAAACCTGAAAAAATTGAATTGTAATACAGCACTATCTACCGTAATCTTTCAGTAACCAAAGACCTACATAACCTCTGAATAACAAAACGTTAAATTAGCAATAAAAAATACAAAATAATCGTGATAAAAACTATCCAGTGTACTAAATTGAAACAAATCACACAAAATAATGAACCAAAAATTTCATTAAAATTCATTGAAAACCAGCAATGTGACACTGAATTTTTATATGAAAATATTAACCAATATATAACACAAATCTAAATTAAAAATATTTTCATAACATCATAAAAATGAGTGATAGGTAAATTTATTTACTTTTACTGCAGGTACAATTTTTTGACACAGGAGCGGAGTGGAAAGGGGTTAAAGGGGGAAATTTGAAATTCGAGTGCTTCGAAGTGATATTTATACTTCTTTCTATATA